GCGGGGAAAACAGCCAAAAACACCGGGAAAAACAGCCAAAAACCACGGGGAAAACAGCCAAAAACTGCGGGGAAAACAGCCAAAAACACTGGGAAAAACAGCCAAAAACAACGGGGAAAAACAGCCAAAAACTGCGGGGAAAAACAGCCAAAAACCGCGGGGAAAACACCCAAAAACAACGGGAAAACAGCCAAAAACCACGGGGAAAAACAGCCAAAAACTGCGGGGAAAACAGCCAAAAACTGCGGGGAAAACAGCCAAAAACTGCGGGGAAAAACAGCCAAAAACCGCGGGAAAAACAGCCAAAAACAACGGGGAAAAACAGCCAAAAACTGCGGGAAAAACACCCAAAAACCGCGGGAAAAACAGCCAAAAACTGCGGGAAAAACACCCAAAAACCACGGGGAAAACACCCAAAAACAACGGGGAAAAACACCCCAAAACTGCGGGAAAAACACCCAAAAACCGCGGGGAAAACACCCAAAAACAACGGGGAAAAACACCCCAAAACCGCGGGAAAAACAGCCAAAAACTGCGGGGAAAAACAGCCAAAAACCGTGGGAAAAACAGCCACAAACTGCGGGGAAAACAGCCAAAAACACCGGGAAAAACAGCCAAAAACCACGGGGAAAACAGCCAAAAACCACGGGGAAAAACACCCCAAAACACCGGGGAAAACAGCCAAAAACCACGGGGAAAAACAGCCAAAAACCGTGGGAAAAACAGCCAAAACTGCGGGAAAAACAGCCAAAAACGGCGGGGAAAACAGCCAAAAACACCGGGAGAAACACCCAAAAACCACGGGGAGAAACACCCCAAAACACCGGGAAAACACCCCAAAACACCGGGAAAACACCCAAAAACTGCGGGGAAAAACAGCCAAAAACTGCGGGAAAAACACCCAAAAACTGCAGGAAAAACACCCAGAAACCGCGGGGAAAACACCCCAAAACAACGGGAAAAACAACCACAAACCCCAGGAAAAACACCCAAAAACCGCGGGAAAAACAGCCAAAAACTGCGGGGAAAACACCCAAAAACAACGGGGAAAAACACCCCAAAACCGCGGGAAAAACAGCCAAAAACTGCGGGGAAAAACAGCCAAAAACCGTGGGAAAAACAGCCACAAACTGCGGGGAAAACAGCCAAAAACACCGGGAAAAACAGCCAAAAACCACGGGGAAAACAGCCAAAAACCACGGGGAAAAACACCCCAAAACACCGGGGAAAACAGCCAAAAACCACGGGGAAAAACAGCCAAAAACTGCGGGGAAAAACAGCCAAAAACTGCGGGGAAAAACAGCCAAAAACGGCGGGGAAAACAGCCAAAAACTGCGGGGAAAACAGCCAAAAACCGCGGGAAAAACACCCAAAAACCGCGGGGAAAACAGCCAAAAACAACGGGGAAAAACACCCCCAAAACACCGGGAAAAACAGCCAAAAACCGCGGGGAAAACACCCAAAAACACCGGGAAAAACAGCCAAAAACACTGGGAAAAACACCCCAAAACCGCGGGAAAAACAGCCAAAGACCGCGGGAAAAACAGCCAAAAACACCGGGGAAAAACATCCAAAAACTGCGGGGAAAACAGCCAAAAACTGCGGGGAAAACAGCCAAAAACTGCGGGAAAAACAACCACAAACCCCGGGAAAAACACCCAAAAACACTGGGAAAAACACCCAAAACACCGGGGAAAAACACCCAAAAACAACGGGGAAAACAGCCAAAAACTGCGGGGAAAACACCCCAAAACACCGGGAAAACACCCAAAAACATTGGGAAAAACAGCCAAAAACCACGGGAAAAACACCCAAAAACACCGGGAAAACAGCCAAAAACACCGGGAAAAACACACAGAAACTGCAGGAAAAACAGCCAGAAACCGCGGGGAAAAACACCCAAAAACAACGGGAAAAACAGCCAAAAACTGCGGGAAAAACAGCCAAAAACAACGGGGAAAAACAGCCAAAAACAACGGGAAAAACAGCCAAAAACTGCGGGAAAAACACCCAGAAACTGCAGGAAAAACACCCCCAAAACACCGGGAAAAACACCCCCAAAACCGCGGGGAAAAACACCCAAAAACAACGGGAAAAATTCCCCAAAAATCACTGGAAAAATTCCCTGAAATCCTGGGAAAAATTTCCCAATAAACTCGGAAAAAATCCCTCAAAAACTTTGGGAAAAATTCCCCCAAAACCCTGGGAAAAAAATCCCCAAAATCCTTGGGAAAAATATCCGAAATATCCTGGGAAAATCCCCCAAAAATCCCGGGAAAAATTCCCTGAAATCCCAGGAAAAATCTCCAAAAACCTGGGAAAAAATCTCCAAAAATCCTGGGAAAAGTCCCCCCAAAATCCAAGGGAAAAAAACCCCAAAAATACCGGGAAAAAATCTCCCAAAATTCTGGGAAAAATCTCCCAAAATCTTGGGAAAAATCTCCCAAAATCCTGGGAAAAATCCCCCAAAAATCCCGGGAAAAAATCCCCCAAAATTCCGGGAAAAATCTCCCAAAATCACTGGAAAAATTCCCTGAAATCCCAGGAAAAATTCCTCAAAAATCCCGGGAAAAATCTTCAAAATCCTGGGAAAAATTCCCTGAAATCCTGGGAAAAAAAACCCCAAAATCCCAGGAAAAAATCCCCAAAAACCTTGAGAAAAATATCAAAAATATCCTGGGAAAATCCCCCTGAAATCCTGGGAAAAATCTCCAAAAATCCCAGGAAAAATCTCCCAAAAATCCCAGGAAAAATCCCCCAAAATTCTGGGAAAAATCACCCAAAATCCCAGGAAAAATCTCCAAAAATCCCGGGAAAAATCTCAAAAAATCCCAGGAAAAATCTCCCAAAATTCTGGGAAAAATCACCCAAAATCACTGGAAAACTTCCCTGAAATCCCAGGAAAAATCTCCCAAAATTCCAGGAAAAATCACCCAAAATCCTGGGAAAAATTCCCCAAAAATCCCGGGAAAAATCTCCAAAATCCCAGGAAAAATTCCCTGAAATCCTGGGAAAAAAATCTTGAAATTTTGGGAAAATTAAACTTAAAAATTTTGGCAAAACAAACCCTAAAAATCCCCGATTTTAGCATAAAAAACCCCTTAAAATCCAGCAAAAAATGCCTCAAGGAACCCCAAAAATCCTGAAAAATCCCAGCAGGGTTTTTGGGGAAACTCCAAAATTTTGGGAAAAGTCCCAAAATCCCTGGAAAAAGCCCCAAATTTTGGTTTGTGGCAGGGACGATCATGATGAGCGGCTGCGGGATCCTGACCAACGGCAAAGGGACGCGCCGGGAGTACTGCGAGTTCAGCCTGGACGAGCTGCAGGTGAGCCCCAAAATCCCCCCAAATCACCCCAAAATTCACCCTCGGGACCCCCAAAATCAGCTCCGGGCGCCCCAAAATCGGGGGGAGTTTGGGACACCCCAAAATCCCAAAAATTCCCCCAAAAAATTCGATTTATGGATCAGAAATTGGGATGATTTCACGGATTTTTCTATTTTTTAACTCTAAAATCTCCCCAAAATCCACCCAAATCACCCCAAAATTCACCCTCGGGACCCCCAAAATCGGCAAAATCCACCCCAAAATCGGGGGGAGTTTGGGACACCCCAAAATCCCAAAAATCCCTAAAAAATCCCCCAAAAAATTCGATTTATGGATCAGAAATTGGGGTGATTTCATGGATTTTTCTATTTTTTAACTCTAAAATCTCCCCAAAATCCACCCAAAATCCACCCAAAATCCACCCAAAATTCACCCAAAATCCACCCAAAATTCACCCAAAATTACCCCAAAATCCGCCCAAATCCACCCAAAATCCACCCAAAATTCACCCAAAATCCACCCAAAATTCACCCAAAATCCACCCAAAATTCACCCAAAATTCACCCAAAATCCACCCAAAATTAACCTAAAATCCACCCAAAATTCACCCAAATCCACCCAAAATCCACCCAAATCCACCCAAAATTCACCCAAAATTCACCCAAAATCCACCCCAAATTAACCCAAATTCACCCAAAATCACCCCAAATCACCCCAAAATTCACCCTCGGGACCCCCAAAATCAGCTCCGGGCGCCCCAAAATCGGGGGGAGTTCGGGACACTCCAAAATCCAAAAAAATCCCCCAAAAAATTCGATTTATGGATCAGAAATTGGGATGATTTCACGGATTTTTTTTTTATTTTTGAGTCTTAAAATTCACCCAAATCCACCCAAAATCCACCCAAAATCCACCCAAAATTCACCCAAAATCCACCCAAAATTCACCCAAAATTCACCCAAAATCCACGCAAAATTCAATCAAAATCCACGCAAAATTTACCCAAAATCCACCCAAAATTCACCCAAAATTCACCCTCGGGACCCCCAAAATCAGCTCCGGGCGCCCCAAAATCGGGGGGAGTTCGGGACACCCCAAAATCCCAAAAATCCCTAAAAAATCCCCCCAAAAATTCCATTTATGGTTCAGAAATTGGGATGATTTCACAGATTGTTTTATTTTTTAAGCTCTAAAATCTCCCCAAATTCACCCAAAATTCACCCAAAATTTACCCAAAATTCACCCTCGGGACCTCCAAAATCGGCTCCGGGTGCCCCAAAATCGGGGGGAGTTCGGGACACTCCAAAATCCAAAAAAATCCCCCAAAAAATTCGATTTATGGATCAGAAATTGGGATGATTTCACGGATTTTTCTATTTTTTAACTCTAAAATCTCCCCAAAATCCACCAAAATCTCCCCAAAATTCACCCTCGGGACCTCCAAAATCGGCTCCGGGTGCCCCAAAATCGGGGGGAGTTCGGGACACTCCAAAATCCAAAAAAATCCCCCAAAAAATTCGATTTATGGATCAGAAATTGGGATGATTTCACGGATTTTTTTTTTATTTTTGAGTCTTAAAATTCACCCAAATCCACCCAAAATCCACCCAAAATCCACCCAAAATTCACCCAAAATCCACCCAAAATTCACCCAAAATTCACCCAAAATCCACCCAAAATTCACCCAAAATTCACCCAAAATTCACCCAAAATCCACCCAAATCACCCCAAAATTCACCCTCGGGACCCCCAAAATCAGCTCCGGGCACCCCAAAATCGGGGGGAGTTCGGGACACCCCAAAATCCCAAAAATACCTAAAAAATCCCAAAAAATCCTTAAAAAAATTCGATTTATGGTTCAGAAATTGGGATGATTTCACGGATTTTTTTTTTATTTTTGAGTCTTAAAATTCACCCAAATTCACCCAAAATTCACCCAAAATCCACCCAAAATTCACCCAAATTCACCCAAAATTCACCCAAAATCCACCCAAATTCACCCAAAATTCACCCAAAATCCACCCAAAATCCCCCAAAATTCACCCAAAATTAACCCCAAATCCACCCAAATTCACCCAAAATTCACCCAAAATCCACCCAAAATTCACCCAAAATCCCCCAAAATTCACCCAAAATTAACCCCAAATCCACCCAAATTCACCCAAAATTCACCCAAAATCCACCCAAAATCCACCCAAATTCACCCAAAATTCACCCAAAATCCACCCAAAATTCACCCAAAATTCACCCACGGGACCCCCAAATTTTCCCAGTGTTTTTGGGGTGAATCCCGTGGGTTTTGGGGCTCCCTGTGGGTTTTGGGGTGAATCCCGGTGTTTTTGGGGTGAATCCCGTGGGTTTTGGGGTGAATCCCGGCGTTTTTGGGGCGAATCCCGTGGGTTTTGGGGCTCCCTGTGGGTTTTGGGGTGAATCCCGGCATTTTTGGGGTGAATCCCGGCGTTTTTGGGGCGAATCCCGTGGGTTTTGGGGCTCCCTGGGGGTTTTGGGGTGAATCCTGTGGGTTTTTGGGGCGAATTCCGGGGGTTTTGGGGCTCCCTGTTGGTTTTGGGGTGAATCCTGGCAGTTTTGGGTTGAATCCTGGTGGTTTTGGGGTGAATCCCGTGGGT